CTGGGGTAAGGTGGTATCTCAGGGTTGTCTTTATTTGCATTTCCTTCACCACCAGGGATGATGAACATTTCCTCATGTGTTTCTTTGCCATTTTTATTTCTTCATTTGAGAAGTCCCTCTTTAGTTCCCTTGCCCATTTAGTAATTGGTTTGTTAGGTTTGGGAGGGATTAGTTTCTTGAGTTCCCTGTATATACAGGATGTTAACCCCTTGTCTGATATATTGCTGGTAAATATTTTTTCCCAATTAGTTGGTTGTCTTTCTAGCTTAGTTGCGATAGATTTAGCTGTGCAGAAGCTTTTTATTTTAAGGTAGTCCCATTTGTCGAGTCTCTCTCCAACTTGTTGTGACCCTGGGACTCTGTTCAGGAAGTTCCTTCCTGTGCCTATTAGTTCAAGTGTCTCTCCTACTCTGTCCTGCAGTAGTTTCAGAGATTCAGGTTTAATGTTAAGGTCTTTAATCCATTTTGAGTTGATGTTGGTGCATGGTGATAGGCTGGGGTCCACTTTTAGTTTTCTGCATGTGGCTGCCCAGTTTTCCCAGCACCAGCGGTTGAAGAGGCTGTGTTTCTTCCATTGTATGTCTTTGGCTCCTTTGTCGAATATCAGCTGGCTGTAGGCCTGTGGATTTATATCTGGATCTTCTATTCTGTTCCATTGGTCTTCGGGTCTGTTTTTGTGCCAGTACCATGCTGTCTTTGTGATTATAGCTCTGTAGTAGAGTTTGAAGTTCGGCATGGATAGCCCTCCCATATTGTCTTTATCCCCTAGAATTGTTTTGGCTATTCTAGGTCTTTTGTTGTTCCATATAAATTTTTGGACTGTTTTCTGTATTTCAGTGATGTATGTCATTGGGATTTTAATAGGAATTGCATTGAATTTGTATATTAGTTTTGGAAGTATCACCATCTTTACTATATTAAGTCGGCCTATCCAGGAGCATGGGAGGTCTTTCCATTTCCTAGTGTCTTCTGCAATTTCTTTCTTTAACTTTTTATAGTTCTCATTAAATAGTTCTTTTACATCTTTGGTTAGGTTAATTCCTAAATATTTTATTTTTTGGGAGGTTATTGTGAATGGGGTTGCTCCCTTTATTTCCCTCTCTTCCTGTGCGTTATCAGTGTATAGGAAGGCAACTGATTTTTGTGGGTTTATTTTGTATCCTGCTATTTTGCCGAAGTGACTTATGATTTCTAAAAGTTTGGGGATGGAGTTTTTGGGATCGTGGAGGTATAGTATCATGTCGTCTGCAAAAAGGGATAGTTTAACTTCTTCTTTCCCTATGCGGATCCCTTTAATGCCTTTTTCTTGCCTTATTGCCCTGGCTAAGGGTTCTAGGACTATGTTGAAGAGGAGTGGAGACAGTGGACATCCTTGCCTTGTTCCTGTTTTTAGGAGGATTGGTTGTAGCTTTTCCCCATTAAGTATAATATTGGCTATTGGTCTGTCATAAATGGCTTTTATTGTTTTTAGAAATGTTCCTTCTGTTCCTATTTTCTCCAGAGCTTTTAGCATGAATGAATGTTGAATTTTATCAAAGGCCTTTTCTGCATCTGTGGCGATAATCATGTGATTCTTGACCTTGGCTCTGTTGATATGCTGGATTACATTTATTGACTTACGTATGTTAAACCATCCCTGTGTCTCTGGGATGAAGCCTACCTGATCATAGTGTATTATTTTTTTAATGTGTTTCTGGATTCTGTTAGCTAGAATCTTGTTAAGGATCTTTGCATCTGTGTTCATCAAGGAGATTGGCCTGTAATTCTCCTTTTTGGTTGGGTCTTTGCCTGGTTTGGGGATGAGTGTGATACTGGCTTCGTAGAATGAGTTTGGGATAGCTCCCTCCTTCTCTGTTTCTCTGAAGAGCTTGAGGAGTATGGGTATTAGTTCTTCTTTAAAGGTCTTATAGAATTCTGCTGTGAATCCATCTGGTCCTGGGCTTTTTTTTGTTGGAAGACTTTTGATAGCTTCCTGTATCTCATTATAGGATATTGGCTTATTTAATTGGTTAACTTCTTCTTTGCTCAGTTTGGGTAACTTGTATTTCTCTAAAAATGCTGTATATCATTGGCCTGCTTTAGTATAATTACTTTAAATTTTCCTTTGTATGGGGACCATCTGGAACACTTGATATATCAGTCAGGGTCCAACCAGAAATTATACCATTATTTATTTAAACAGGGGATGTTCAACTTAAAGAACTGGCCACTAGTCAAAGCTGGTTAACAGAACAAAGGGGCTGAAATGGCTCTAGTAGGTCTAGATGAAACAGATGTAGAAAAGAGCCTATGTGGCCTGTCTGAGGACAGGCAGCATTGATGTTAAAGTCCCTGAGAGTCTTACCTCCAATTAACCATCAAGAAGCGGAAGTAGACCTAGCCTAGACAAAATGCTTATGCCCTGTTTGAAGCCCTAGGACCAGAACAAACAAAAAGTGTGAGGTAGTGGGGGTGGGGAGCAGACCCTGCTTCTCCCATGGGGTCCTCGCCACCTCTCTGTGATGTAAAAACTGGTCTGAGGACATAAACTTGGCCAGATGACCTGTGCTGGGGACCTTAGAATTGACTCCTAGGTGACCTTAGAATTGATTCCGGGAAGGGGGAACAGGATCTAGGGGTGCAGGAGACCTGAGGGCTTCCGTGTGGATTCTTCTATGGTGGGAGCATTCTTCTTGACCCTGGGGGAAATTTTTCCAGTGCATTCTCTTGGTACAGGTTAAAGTTCCTCAGCTGGAAAGTAAGGGTAAGCCCTAGGTCCATCTTCTGTGTCCCAAAGCACATCCAAAGGGAGATGAATTTTGGGTTAAGAAGCAAGAGATGAATTTTGGGTTAAGAAGCAGCAAGCATGTAACTTGAATCCTAAAGCGTACATTCAACTCGAGTGTTTTTACAAGATAAAAATTTAAATGCTGGCCCTAACACTGTTAAGATAGTCATATTACTCACAACCTGACTTAGGGAATTGTAACCTCTTTGTACAACTACTTAATAATAAAAATTTAAAAGATATGCAGAATTTAAAAAATTGCAAATGCAATTTGAATTTGGCCTTTTTTTTAAAAGGATCTTTGTTACACAAAACAAAGTCATCCACCAACAATGCATCTCTAAACACAGTCCAAGAGATATGAAAGGAAAGGTGGACATCTTCACCATAGACCTCACTCCTTACTAACTTCCTAGGTCTGGCTTTCTCTTCTGGATTGTTTAATTTGAGATATGAGTGCCCAGAGCCAACACTTGCAAGGTCAGGACCTGTGCAACTGCTCAAAGCCTCCCTCCCCTGGCTCAGTCTCCTCAAGTTACTTCTTATGACAGATTTATTTCCCTAACACACTTTCATTCTATCAGCAGTATTGCTCAAGAGCCTCAAATGTTTCCTCTTTCTTCATTGTACTAGAATTACAATAAAATAGAAAAGAATTGACCTTTAGCAAGGGCTTCCTAGCCTCCATTCTGTTGATAAGGAAGCCAAAGTTCATTGACATGTTCAAGGTCATACAAGAAGGCAGTTGGCTCAGGCCCAATCTGCAGCTTCCTTCCTCCTACTCTGTCAGGCTTTCCATCCACAATGGGCCCACCATCCTTACCCCATAAAAATAGCCCAGCCCAGCACCTGGTCGGAAATCCAGTTATACTTGACCTCTTCTCCTGCTGTGCAAGGGTGCCCAGCCACTGGCTAGATCCAAGGCCAAGACTCAAATCTAAATAATTACCTCATGTCACTTCAAAAAAAATTGAGTCAATACATCTTTTAATGTTAGTGGGATCTGGACGTCAATCAGGTTCTGTTTTGGCTTTTGGATCATGGACCTAAGCACCAAGCACAAGGGGTGATAATTATTCAGTCCTGTCATGCGAGGTTGGCTAAGGGAGTAATTAGTAGGTGGTTCTGTCTTTTAAGCTGTAGAAGACATATGAATATGCATGTTCCTTTAAGGGAAACTGGTTTGTCTCCAGAAAAACATTTCTCTGCCTTCAGAAGTATGTGATCAAAACCCAGGAGGGGACAGTCTACTGATGGTCTTTGGGTCAGCCTTGTGAGATGCTGGTCCATTCCTGGACTCCTGGGAGCTGCCTTCCCCTTCCGTCCCTTCATTCTGAACTTGATCTTGTTACAGAGTGAGAGAGATCCTCCATTCATTGGGGAGCAAGCACATTCCTGTTCTGGGTTCACAGACCATAATGGGTGGTTAACAGATAGCGTTTAATACCTGTCTCGTTCTTTTCTTTTTTCTTTTTAGAATTGAGCACAGGATTTTTCAGAGCTCTATACAGTAAAACCATTAAAAGAGATGGACAACTGAGAACAAAATCTAATGGAGAGGGTGAAAGAAAAATTAGGAAATAAGTCAAACCACATTTCCTTCCACTGATAGATAGACTATGATGTGAAGATCTTGTCCCCAAAAGGTCCAGTGTTAGTTATAGGAAAAGTATTTACAAGAGTTGACCTCATTTCCTTTTTCCTTCTTCTACACACTCACCTCTGCCTTTTTCCCCTTCCTGGTTCTTTGGGGAAATCAGATTTTATTTTAGGGTATTTTTAACATTCCTCCTTAAATGTCAGCTCTGTGGTCCTCTGTCTTGAGGCTTTTCTCTGTATCCTAGCAACTGGTATCCTACAAGGTCCTCAACTGCTTCATTAGCCTGAAGGGTGAAGATCAAGCAAATGAGACCCCGAAGGGGTGAACAGGAGCAGATTTGCAGTCAAAGCCAGTCTCTGGAATGATTAAGTAATGTGGCTGAAGAAGACTTACTGGATAGCAGTGCCTCCAAACTAAAAGGCTTCTCTCAGCCCAGAGATAGGGGGAGGCCAGGATGGTGGAAGGGGTGGGGTGGTGAGGAGAAGTAGAGGGTTGCATCCTTGAAATCATAGGCATGTCCTTTGCCTGGAAATTTCTGTTGTAATTGCTAAATCACAGTAAGGGGAGTAGAAATTGAATTTTGGACCAGGTGACACCATTCTTCATTTGTCTGATGAGGTCGAAAGTTGGCATATGGAAGAACAAACTTCAGAGGGGGAGAAATTGGACAGAGGTGACGATTTTCTGCGGACGTTATTATATGCTATCTACATGGATGCTGAGTGGATGGGTTGCTTCTGTAAAGAAATGCAGAGCCCCTGTGGATGGCTGGGGAAGGTGGGGGCGGTGGAGGGGGTACAGCGGGCAGTGAGAGGATGACAGCAGGCCTTGGGTGCCTTTCCCTGGATTGCTTGTCATCCTTCTGCATAATGTTCTGCTTTTTTCTTCATTTTTGAAGAGCTAAAATGAGTTTTGTTTACTGCAGACTTTATCACTTCAACATTTAGAATACTTATTCTGTGTGTGTGTGAAAATCTTAGGACAGATTTTTAAGATTTAAATTAAAATTTTCATCTTTGAATTGATACATAAAACATCAAAATTGTATGTGTTTATGGGGTACAGGATGATGTCTCTATATGGATATACATAACATGATGTTTAAAGTAGGCTAGTTATATTTACCTTCTTATATTTTTCTTTCCTTTCCCTTTTCTTTTTCTCTTTCCTTTCCTTTTTTTTGTGCCAGTACTGTAGCTTGAACTCAGGGTCTTGTGCTGTTCCTTACCTTTCCTCATCCACTTAAGATTAGTGTTCTACTGCTTGAGCCATACCTCCATTTCTGGCGTTTTGGTGGTTAATTGGAGATGAGTCTCTCAGAGTCTTTGGCTTGAACTTTTATCCTCAGATATCAACCCCTGAGTAGCTGGGATTACAGATGTCAGCTACCAGCACCCAACTCATATTGATCATTTCTTTATGATAAAAAATACTCAGATCCTTTCTTCTACCTATTCTTGTGAAATATTCGCCCTACCGTGCATTAGCACACAGGGACTTCTAGCTGTTATCCAACTGTAACAGTACTTACTGATTGATCACTCTTCTTCCCTTCAGCACTGCTGTCCCTGGCCTATGGGATCCACCATTCTATGCACACTTCTAAGAGATCAGTTGTTTTAGGTTCTACAGGTGAATGGGACCATGTACTGTAGTCCTGTGCCTGCCTCATTCAGTTAACCTAATGACCTCCAGTTCTATCTATGTTGTGCCACATGGCAGAATTTCATTCTTTGTTTGGGTGAATAGTATTCCATTGCTATATAATGATGTATTTGGCCTTTCCTGTGTAGTAGTGCTTCTTCCTCTCTCTCTGGGAAGTGTTGTGTGTGGCCGGGGAGAGACTTCCTTGAATACTGCCTGCACTAAAAGCGTTTGATCTATGTTTTCTCCTCCTTCACGTCTCTTCATTACACACCTGGCCTGGTATATTACTGATTACTTTCTCTTTTATACTGATCACTTTTTCTTTTTGCTGATCCCTTCATGGTACAGATGCAATGATTACACGACAGTTTCTCTTACTTTATTGAGTGTCCAGAAGATAGAACTTAGTCCTGTCTGTCTATAGCCTGATGTGCAGACTTTGCCATTTATTTACCAATGCTTATTGCATGTTGACTGGGTTATACAAGTTCACCATTCTCCATAGATATAACAATGGAGTGGGATAAACTATCAGCTCACAGAGGTGACATTCTGAGGTTGAGGGAAGATGGCTAATAAGCAAAATAAATAAGTAAAATCATATGCACAGAGTTCCATGTGTGGATATGTGTGCTCGTGCACACACAGAGCACAATGCTTGGAGGACTAAATTAGCAAATGCACCCTAGAAGGGACAAAGAGGATGGGGTAAAATTAATTGAGAATGGCAGGTTCTGATGTAAAGCAGCTCTATAGAATGTCATTCTGGCCATGCTGTTCTGCATACAGAGGAGATAGGAGTGTGTGTGTGTGTGTGTGTGTGTGTGTGTGTGTGTGTGTGTGTGTGTGTGTGTGTGTGTGTGTGTGTGTGTAGTATGTGTGTGTGTGAATATGTGTGGCTCTTTGTAGGGTAGCAGAGATTGTAATGTGGTCATACAAGGTCACAGCATTGTACTTTTCTAATGGATGTTAGTTTGTGCTTAGTAATAAAGTTGTTTTTCCCCCTGAGTATTTGCAGTGTGCCAGGCACTGCTTTGAACTTTTCTCCTCACATGGAGATGGGGAAGCCCCAGCTATACCCACTTTCCAAAGGGGAGGGCCAGGCCAGAGGCCGCTTCTGCTGCTTATGGCAATGTTATGCAGCTAGAAGATGACAAGTGCTCCAACCCCAGTATCTCTGCTGTGATTCTGGTGTAGAATCTACAAAATCGGAACCACCTCCTTTTTCTCTTCTTCTTCTTTTTGGCAGTACTAGGATTGGAACTCAGGGGTCTTGTGCTAGCTAGGCAGCAATACCACTGAACCATGACTCTAGTCTGGTTTTCACTGGTTATTTTTAGGCTAGGGTCCTGCTATTCCAAACAAAAACCTTCAGTTCAAGCTGTGAGTTCTCTGCTGGAAGACAGTGTCATTGCTGGTCACACTAGATTTGCAGGTCTGCCATCCCAGCATACATCCTAGGGCTCTGGGCTTATAAAAAAAAAAGACCCTATGTTGGAAATGAGCAGTATAGAAAGGACCTGACAGTGTAGCTCACATGGTAAAGCACCTGCTTAGCAAGCATGAACCCTGAGTACCTCCAATAAAGAAATGAAAATTACAGCTTTATTGAGATATGTTCCAAGTCCCCCAGAATATACCTTTAAAGTGTACTTTACTTGCCGGGCGCTGGTGGCTCACACCTCTAATCCTAGCTACTCGGAAGGCTGAGATCTGAGGATCATGGTTCAAAACCAGCCTGGGCAGGAAAGTCCCTGAGACTCTTATCTCCAATAAACCACCAGAAAACCAGAAGTGGTGCTGTGGCTCAAGTGATAGAGAGCTCGCCTTGAGCTGAAAAGCTGAGAGACAGCACCCAGACCCAGAGTTCAAGCCCCACAACCGACAAAAAATAAAAAAGTACTTTTTTTGTTTTTTGGTGGAAAAAGTATTTATGGAATTGTGCAACCAGAAACAATTAATTTCAGAACATTATCATCATCCCATTATAAAAAAACAACAACTTGTACCCATTAGCAGTAGCTCCCCATTTCTCCTTCCTATCAGTCATGCATCTACTTCCTGTTTTTATGTATTGATTTGTCTTTTCTGGACATTTCCTGTATGTGGGTCCACACAACATGGGCTCTTTCATGTTTGGCTTTTTTTACTGAGTGTAATACATTCAAGGGACATCTATACTATAGCACCCACCAATGCTTCTTGCTTTGCACTTCCTAGTGAATGGATGAACAAGCCTCATTTTGTATGGCCACTTATTCTTAGAGATGGGCATGGGTCTACTTGTAGATGGTTAATGAACAATGTTTCTGTACACATGTATATACATGTTCTTTATATGGCATATGTTTTCAGTTCTTTGAGCATATGTTTTCAGTTCTCTTGGCTATAAACATAGGAATGGAATTTCTGGGTCCTATTCACTGAGTTTAGTGTTTAAATTGACTTCTTTTTACTTGTGGGATCTGCATCCTTACTTTTTGCAAGTGAAAATAAATTTACTTCCTTGGTGCTGAGTGTTGTCAACAGCTTGATATAACATGAACACATCTGGGGCCCAGGTTAAGATTCTGTGAGCGAATCATGTAATCATAAGTATGTTTATTGTGTAGAGTTGATGCTTGACTATATTTGTTTTGTTCTCTTCCTAGCTTCTTCTTACTCTACTATTCACCCAATTTTTTTTTCTTTTCTGTTCCAGAATCGCAATGAAATAAAAAACGGCACTATCCTTCGATTAACCACATCTCCAGTAAGTTGATCTTAGTTGGTTATTTCATCTTAAGCTGCCTACCCTCTGGGTCTGCTGTATGTGCTTATAGAATGCTGTTTTTTGAGAGTGACTGTACTCTAAAACAGAAAGTCCCTGGGATGTCCTCATGGGCAGAGTCTAGTTTAATTGGAAGTCTCTCCAGTTTATTTCCCATGGCAGAGGAGGAAGGAACCTATTCCACTGTGAACAGAGAATGGATTGGGAATCATGGAATTGGAGTTTGGTGCCCATCTCAATAGCTCTTCCAGTACTGATGAATAACTTGGCTATGTAGATTTTTTTTTTTATCATCTTCTCTGAGCAAATTCAGAGAAACAAAGCAAGCCAAACCAAAAACAGGCTGTTTCTTTATTTAAAGTCTATGGAGGGGTGGGGGGGAGAAAGGTGGGTGGGAAGAAGGGAAGGAGGGGGAAAGAGAAGGACAGAGAGAAAGACAAAGACAGGTTGAATTTAAATATTTCCTAGTGTTGGTCAGTGATGATGAAAATTGATGAAAAAATGGATAAAAATTGATTTAAAATAGTAAATGTTGGGCCATTTAGGCTGTTTCATGGATGCTAATCAGAACTCATGCATATCTGCGCGTGAAAGCTGTTGAACAAGGTGCCTGTGGCACTTGGCAGTGAATGGGTCTTTCTTGTTTCCTGGTCTAGTTGGGGTAGTAACCTTAGCATATTTGAGCCATATTGTTCCACACTGCATTTCCTTGCTTTCCTAGAAAACACAAGCAGCACAAAATATACCAAGTATTACTATTTCCACCCCCACAGTTGAGGAAAACTGTCTATCTATCATTTCCAGTTGTCACACAAGCCATGTAATAGGCTAAAAATAAATTTCAAAATGGAGGAGAAAGCATCTGGCTAGAATTAAACTGTGGGCAGTATAACTACCACAGATCCATCTTGTTGAAAATGGCATTAGAGAGGTTTAAAAACTGCTAAGTATTTTGCTTTCATTTAAATTGGCCTATTAATTTTTTAATTTTTATTTGTATTGTAAGGCGATGTGCAGAGGAGTTAGAGTTACATGAGTCAGGCATTGATTACATTTCTTTTTGGACAGTGTCACCCCCTCCCTCGTTTTTTCTGTTTCATTTTTCCCCTCCTCCGCCCCCCCGCCCCGATTCCCCACGTTCTATAGTTCATTTCCAACACAGTGTCTTGTGACTATCACTGCTGAGTTAGTTCACCCTCTGTCCCAGCATTTCTGTGCTTCCCTTTCCCCTCACCAAAGCTGATAAACTTACATACAAGACGTAAGTATTTTATCCTAAGACATCTCCAACCTAAACATAGGGATGGGCTCAGTAGACAGAATGACTGGGTTGCTGCAGCCATTGCCTGGTGCCAGCTTCCCTGCTTCACAAAAATGATAGTTTGCTGTCCTTTTTCTGTGGGTTGAGTCATTTTTGTCTGACTTCCTGAAATTAATGTGAATTAATACAAATGTGACCCTTGGAGGTGAGCATTTCATTTGTGCTTTGCATTCTTATTTATCCTGCTCAAAGTCCTTCATCTGCTTGCCAGGCAGGGAAGTGCACACCGTGTCTTTTGTTTCCTCTTAGAAAGGCTCAGCATTTTCTCTGGCCATCTCCAAGCCAAAGAAAGAATTGGTTCCCCTCACTGGGGATTCAGTCGCTCTTAGAAAGGAGGTTCAGTGTCAGGGAGGAGAGGGTGGTGTTTACAGCATCTCCAGGGTGGCGTTATATTTTTTATTTTTTTACATTTGTTCATTTTTATTTTATTTTTTATTTTATTTATTTATTTATTTTTGTCGGTCGTGGGGCTTGAACTCTGGGCCTGGGCGCTGTCCCTCAGCTCTTCAGCTCAAGGCGAGCGCTCTACCACTTGAGCTACAGCGCCACTTCCGGTTTTCTGGTGGTTTATTGGAGATAGGAGTCTCACGGTCTCTCCTGCCCGGGCTGGCTTTGAACCGTGATCCTCAGATCTCAGCCTCCTGAGTAGCTAGGATTACAGGCGTGAGCCACCAGCGCCCGGCTTGTTCATTTTTATTCACAACCTGTTTTTCAGTACAATTTTCCACCTGTTCCCATTTGCAGTCGGGTTATACAAGTGCTAAGTGGCAGAAAGTTCTGCAATAACTACACCAAAGAAGGAAAACAAAGCAAAGCTGTGAGATAAGTTGCATGTAGCAGGCCCCAGAGCAGCATTTTAACTCTGTGGAGACCTGTCATCTCAGAGCAGGGATTTTGGAAAATATCCTTCACATTCCCAGCTCTGTTAATGGAAAGATGGTAGAGATAGCAAGCAGGATGCCGCTACAAGACAAGACTGGCTTATGTTTCCAAACCTGGGGCAGTTGTGGACTTTGACCTGCAAGTGTGCAGGCCTTGGGTTACAGTGTCTGAGACAGCACACCAGACTCTGCATTTGAAACACTGCCTTGTGCTCTGTGGATGGACACAGAGTCTGGAATTGGGCATTATGTCACAACAAAATATTTGGGATCTGAAAATGTCATTAATTGCTAGATTACTTTCTGTAATTTTGTTTAAAATTGAAAATTGAATTGAGAACTAAAAAATATGGGTCACACATGGTAACTTGTGTGTGTGTGGAGGGGTTCTTGGGGCTTGAATTCAAGGTCTGGGCGCTGTCCCTTAGCCTTTTCACTCAATGCTAGTTTTCTACCACTTGAGCCAGAGCTCCAAGTCCAACTTTTTAGTGATTAATTGGAGGTAAGAGTCTCATGGACTTTCCTGCCCAGGTTGGCTTTGAACTGAGATCATCTGATCCCATTCACCTGCATAGCTAGGATGAAAGGCATGAACAGTTGGTACCTGGTTAATTCATTATTATTTTTTTTTTTTTGTGCTTACCTTGGGGCTTGACCTCAGGGCCTGGGTACTATCCTTAAACACTCGTTTGCTTAAGGCTAGTGCTCTACCACTTGCACCACAGTTTAGCTATTGGAGATGAGTCTCATGGATTTTCCTGACCAGGCTGGCTTAGAACTGTGATCTCCAGATCTCAGCCTTCTGAGTAGTGAGGATTACAGGTGTGAGCCACCTGTGCCCATAGACAATAAAAATGAATTAAAAGTGAATTTATCCATCCATTTTTAAGAAAAGATGACTGTGAAGAACACAGAAGAAGGTATTTTGCTACTTCAGGATTACAGGCATGGGCCACCAATGCTCAGCTGTGCTAATATTTAAAGTTCATGCACCTAGCAAGCTGAGTTCCCCCTCCTGGGAGATAAGACACTAGCATGCATACACCGGTACACACACACACACACACACACACACAATCGTAGGTAACGTGGCCATGCTGAGTTGTGCTTCTATTCTGTGGAGGTGGTATTTCCATTTAAGCATTTTTTTCCCCTTTTAAAGTATTTGTTTCCTTTTAAGTAAGTGTTTCTGTTGGTCGGTCTCCAATTGAAGTAGAATGAATTAGGTATAAATTCTGTCTACCTAGCTTCCTCTTTGTTTATTGACATTTTTGTTAGCAAAAGTTCTTTTGGAAAGGTACATACATAGAAGAGCCAACAAAATGTCCTTTGCACAATAGACCAGGCAGGACTTATTGTACCCCAGCTGGGAAGTCTAGGGAGTGATTCGGAGACAGAACTGGGGTTCTTCCAGTCTTCACACAGAGAGGGTACATTCAAAGTGATTTAGAAGCCAGGTTCTGGTGGCTCAAGCCTATCTATAATCCTAGCTACTCAGGAGGCTGAGATCTGAGGATCACAGGTCACAGTTTGAAGCTAACCCTGGCAGGACAGTCCATGAGACTATCTCCCCCCCCCCTTCGGTCCATTATGGGGCTAAAACTCTGGGCCTGGGTGCTGTCCCTGAGCTTCCCCCCCCCCCACCCCAAGGCTAGTGCTCTACCACTTTGAACCACAGCTCCATGTCCAGTTTTCTGGTGGTTAATTGGAGATAAGAGTCTTATGGACTTTCCTACCTGGATTGGCTTTGAAACCACCATCCTCAGATTTCAGTCTCCTAAGTAGCTAGGATTATAGGTATGAGCCACCAGTGCCTGGCCTCTAGAAGTGGAGCTGTGACTCAAGTGGTATAGAACACGAGCTTTGAGCCAAAGCAGCTCAGGGATAGTGCCTGGACTCTGAGTTCATGCCCTAGGACTGGCACCAAAACAAACAAAACAAAAATGTAAAAACCAAAATTATTTAGAGCCCTGGACCTCTGCATATAATTAGAGACATGCTTCAAGGGCATGCTTTCTGGGACCTCACCCAGGCTTTGGACACAGGAAACCCTTGAGATGGCCTAGGCTTGTGTCTTAAAAAGCCACATAGGGTTCTAGTGTATGTACAGCCATTAAGATCATAGTGAGTTCTATAATAAAATAATTTTCAGTATTTTCTGTCTTATTCTTTAAATACATATGGGAAAAATATACACTTGGGAAAAATGGGAATGAAGCTCTGAGACATAATGTGTAGGCTGTGATTACTCAAAGTATTGGCTGAAGAGATGGGTACGAGGTCTGCACTTATGTGATTGCTTAACAAAGCAAGTAGCTTTTAGTTACTTCTAGATAAATGATTGGGCTTCAAAAGTAAATATCTGCCTCACCCCTTATCCTATCCCCCCCCCACCCTGATCAGTTTCTGGGTCTTCAGTGTTCTTCTGACCTCACTTTGCTTTTCTTTGAAACAGAAGGTGAAATGGATGGTCAGTGTGCTAGCCCTTACTCTCACACCTGTCCGTGAGAGACACAGGCTATCAGGTATTCTCACACACATTGTCCGCTTCTGGATGCCGGCCTTTATTTTTCAGGGATGCTGTCATTTCTGTGATGTTGTAATTTTCCTTTTGAACACTGTCGTCTTTTTTATACCACCTCCACCCCCCATAAGGCTCAGAATGCCCAGCAGCTCCATGAACGCATCCAGTCGTCAAGTATAGATGCCAAGCTGGAGGCCCTGAAGGACTTGGCCAGCCTGTCCCGGGATCTCACGTTCGCCCAGGAATTCATCAACCTGGATGGCATCTCTCTCCTCACCCAGATGGTAGACAGCGGCACTGAGTAAGTAGCTGGTGTCCACCTGGTGTCCACACAGGCAGGTACACTGGCATGTACACTGGTGTTTCTTGCACTCCTTACTCCTACGTTTCTCAGTTTTGAAGAACAGAGTCTTGCCTAGATCAAGATACCATCCCTGGAATAATTTTTGGAAAAAGAAAATGGGTCAGGCACCAATGGCTCATGTGTATAGGCATAGCCTAGCTACTTAGGCAGCTGAGATCTGAGCATCATGATTCAGAGTTCAACCAGGAAGAAAAGTCTCTGAGAATCGTATTTCTAGTTAACCACCCAAACCCCCCCAAAATGGAGCTGTAAACGTGGTACAGTGCTAGCCTTGAGCAAAAATGCCCAGGAAAATAGTGCCCAGGCCCTGAGTTCAAGCCCCAGGAAGAGCAAACACACAAAAATAAGGCAAAACACACTTTCATGAGAGGACATTGTGTGCCTTTTGATTTTTTTTCAATAAACTTTAATAAATAAGAGTAGATAAACAGGGGGTCTAGGTACTGAAGGGAGAGGATTAGTGATGAACAGGGCAGGTAGGGGTGTGGCAAGGGCTGCTCCAGGTGAAGGCTTCGTTGTGGCGTGGTGTGAAGAGGCCTTTGGCTGCTTGTTTGTGGTGAAGGCATTGGTCGTGCTGGCTTTGGTCTGGCCAGTGGCACTGGCGGAGTGCAGTCAGCAGATGTTAGCACAGCTGGGCTGGAGCTGGCCCCGCAGCTGCAAGAGGAGCAGAGCAGGTATAGAGCCCATGTTGGTGTCGGGACACGGCCCTGCCTGCTGCCTTGCAGACCGAGCTCTGCCCCCTGAGGCGGCCCACGGTGGATGGAGGTCCCTAAGGCATCCAACAACTGATGGTTCTGGGTCTTTCCCAGATGTCAGCCCTCCTGTCCACACACACACACACTGTGCTCCAGATCTGGCCCCCATATGCAACACACTCTCCTGTGCCCTTGTACAAGCCTGAGTTGCATGTGACTGTGGGAGTGCACTTGCATGCATGCACACTCGCTCAGGCACCTGGGCTCATGGGTGTAAGTAGGACTGGCTATCCCTTCCTTGGAAGGAACAGCTCCGGGGCCAGTGTCCCTCACCTGCAGCCTCTGCCTCAGTGGCCTCCAGATGATGCAACCAGAATGGGAGGTTGGGAGTTGGCATCTCCATAGGAGAGATGCATATGTCCAGGTGAAGGCAGGCCTTGCCACCATGTGGTGGGGCAATGTAGTCAATGTGGTGCAGGCCTGAAAAGAGAGGAAGAAGGGTCAGGAGGCCAGCAAGAAGCTTAAGGAGGGAAAGAAGGGAGGCAGGGAGGAAGACAAGGGCATGACAAGTGGCCACTGTTGAGGCTGGGTGTGGCCCCCTGGAAACTTTGGGCCCTAGCATCTCCCCAGACAGCACCAAGCCCCACGCCTTGCAGGGCTGCTGGTTGGGCAGTTAGTGAGTAAGTGTGCCACAAGGTTTGTAGGAGGAGAGGTGATGGTGAGGCCAGGATTGCCTCCGAGTCTAGAGAGAGGGTTCCGGGTCTGGGGAGTCCTCCCGCCTGCCCCTGGGGAAGAAGGGAGAGGGCACAGTAGGTGACTCACAGGCCTTGGCTGGTCAGGGCGAACCACCACAGGGCTACGCAATGGCAGCGACAGCTGCATGCACGAGCACCCTGTGGTACAGCTCCCTATGGGCATCAGGAGCCGATCCTTCCGTCTATACGGACTGTGGCTGTGGAACCAGTTCCGGCTCAGCAAACCGAGGTAGGGGTGACAGTCAGCCACCAAGCACCTGGAGGAAACGGCAGTCAAAGAGGCCACAGCAGGCGGAGGGTCCTGGCAGTTCTTGCTACACACCCACCCTCCCAGCTGCCCGGGTCAGAGCCTGGATGAGCTGTGGCTTGCCCGTGGCAGCCAGTGCCTTGCAGGATGAGGCTCACCTGGTCACAGGCAGGGCCTCTTGACTGGAGCACAGTGCCTCCCTTGGTCCCGAAGACCCACGTCTGTGCAGAGGGGCCGGTGCCCGGTATTGAATCCCCTGCAAAGACGGTATCATCATGCACATTTGCCATAGGTTGTACAAATCCTCTCTGCTCCAGACCGGCATAATGTTTTCAGCCTGGGGAGACGCAGAGTTGTTTGGTTTTTCAGAGAAGCTGTAATCAACCTGCTCGAGGCTTGGGGGTGGGCTAGAACTCAGAACAAACTCCCTGCCGTAGGAAGGCATGGGAAAGGCAGGCATGTGTTCTCTCTCTGTCTCTACCTCTGTTTGTCTGTCTCTGTCGCTGTCTCTCTGTCTCTGTCTCAGTCTCAGTCTCTGTCTCGCTGTCTCTCTCTCTCTCTGTCTTTCTCTGTCTCTCGAACACATATACCCACACCCAGCACACACATGTACTCCCACTCGCACACCGCTGGTCTAGCTGGAATCCTCATACACACACACACACACACACACACACGCACACTCACTCACTCACTCACTCACTCACTCACACCAGGAGCCTGCAGCTGTAAGTGAGCACTTTGAGTTTGCTGAAAGTGAGCCTCCAGCCTGATGATGAATGGTGAAAGCACAGAGAAAGTGCAGAAGCTGTTAGGTCCCTGGCACAAGGGCTGAGAGGCAGTGGGTGAACCCAGGACCAGACAGGAGGGTAAATGTGACAGTTGGGCCAAAGCCCAAGAGCTACGTAGGTTCACATGTGGGCAGCAAGCCGCTTTCACGTGTGGTGAGTGTCAGAGTTGTGGGTAGGTGTGGTGTGGCTAGCGGGCATGGAGATGGGGGCCTGGATTACATTGGGTGCTGAACTGTTTGGCAGCAGTGTCCCTACCAAGGAAGTGCTGGGGCTGGAGGGTGACACGTGACTTTGTCCAAGCCCAGCCCAGTGTGAGTGTGTTGTGTGGGTTGGATGTCCTTGGAGGAACCGACATGCATCCACATGATTGACAAAGGCAGGGCCTGACAGTGATGCTGTATGTGATGGAGGTCCAGCTGCGGTTGTCCTGAATCATGTCCTGTATGCAGGTCTGCAAAGACAGGGATGGCCAGCAAGAGGCCAGCAAGAAGCATGAAGGTGAAAGTGGGAGGGAGAGAGGGACATGGTGTATGGCCAATGTTGGGGCTGTTTATGGCTGTTTATGGAAGCTTTAGGGACTAGGCACTTCCTGGACAGCAGCGGGCCCCATGGACCGGCAGGGCTGATGCCTGGCCAGTGAGTGTGCCAGTGTGTCCCAGGGCTTGCAGGAGGAGAGGTGATGGTGTGGCCAGAATTGCCTCCTAGAGAGAGTGTTCTGGGTCTGTGTAGACTGTCTGCCTGCCCCCCAAGGAGGAAGGATGAGGGGCCCAGTCCGGGACTCACCGGCCTTGGCTGGTCAGGGCTGATCAATGGCAACAGCTGCATCAGAGAGCATTCTCTGGGAGAGCTCCCGATGGGCCTTTGCAGCCCACATTGGCATCCATCTGGCCTGGGGCTAAGGCTCAGCAGCACCCAGCCAGCCACCGAGCACCTGAGGAAAAGGCAAAGGGGCCACAGCACAGTGAAGGTCCTCCAGTGCTTGCTACATACCCACCCTCCCGCCTGCCCAGGAAAGAGTCTCGATGAGCTGTGGCTTGCCCATGGCAGCCAGAGCCTTGCAGGATGATGCTCACCTGGTCACACTCACAGCCTCTTGCCTGGAGCACAGTGCTTCCATGGGGGCCACGGAGCCGCGGCTCTGCAGAAGCCCAGGTGTTGGGTCCACAAGCCCCTGGGAAGAAGTAATCCTTATTTGCCAGCTCCTAGAAGTTTCCTCCAGGCTCAGGACCAGCAGCCCGTTTTCAGTCTAGGGAGATACAGAATTGCTTGGATTTTCAAAAAAGACGGGAGAACCCCGCTGGAGGCTTGGGGGAGAGCTGGAGCTCAGAACAAACCCCACTGCCTTAGGAGGGCATGGGAAAAGCAGGCATGGGTTTTTTCTCTGTCCCTGTCCCTGTCCCTCCCTCTGTCTCTCTGTCTCTGTCCCTCCCTCTGTCTCTCTGTCTTTGTCTGTGTCTCCTTCTCTCTCCAACACATACACCTGCACACCAGCACACACGTGCACTCCTGCTCCCATACACACAGGCTAACTCGAATTCGAATACACACACACACACACACACACACACACACACACGACACTGGGAGCCTGCAATAGTGTGTGTGCCCTTTAAGTTGCTCGAAGCAAGCCTCCCACATGAGGATGGGCAGGGAAAACCTACCGAAGGTGCAGAAGCTGTTAGGTCCCTGGCACAAGGGCTGAGAGGTGGTGGGTGAGCCCAGGAGTAGGCAGGAGGGGACATGTGGCAATGCAGCCAAAGCCCAAGAGCTACCTAGGTGCACACGTGGGCAGCCAGCCGCTTTCTCGTGTAGTGAGTGTTAGAGTGGTTGGCAAGTGTGGCTAGGGGGCATGGAGCTGGATTACGTTGGGTGATGGACTGTTTGGCAGTGGTTTGTCCCTGCCAAGGCAGTACAGGGTCTGCAGTGGGAGCTATTGCTTTGTGGGGCTGGCAGAGACAGCCCTGCATGACTTTGTCCAAGCGCGGCCCAGTGTGAGTGTGATGTGTGGGCTAGATGTCCTTGGAGGAATGGACCGACATCCACACTCACCCGGGTGACTGACCAACGCCTGCGCCTGATGGTCCGGGTGTATGTGACGGAGGTCCAGCTGGTGTCATCCGGGCCTAGGTCCCGTGAGGAGGCCTGCAAAGACAGGGGAGGCCACAGGGTCAGCAAGAAGCGTGAAGGTGAGGATGGGAGGGAGGGAGGGACATGGTGTGTGGCCGCTGTTGGGGCTGTTTGTGGCTGGGTGGAAGTGTTAGGGACCCGGCCCTTCCTGGACAGCAGTGAGCCCCATGATCTTGCAGGGTTGATGGCTCTTAGGCACTGGCAGGAGCGGGCAAATGAGAGGAGGGTGGGGACAGCTCAGGAATGTTTCCCTCCTAGACACCCGAGGCAAGGTGCCAAGAGAGAGGGCTCTGGTTCTGACAGGCCCCTGTGCGTTATCAGT